ATCCAGAACAATGCTGTCACATCTCTGGAGCCAAGTTTTTCCGAGCAACCTAAGCTTGGAGTCAAGAGCTTGTTTTAGCTTTAAAACAAAAACTGAGCTGAAGCCCAAACTCTGAACCAGAATGTGAAGTGTTGCCAATCCTAGTGCATACTAATTGCAGCAGATATCATAAGTAGACCCAATACAAATTAACAACTTTGTTTTTAGATGCTTGGATAGGATTTGACCAACAGCACCTATGCAGAATGCCATGTCTTGTATTTTAGTAAACGTTATTATTTTTTTGTAAGAAATAGCTGTGGGAGACTTTATTCATATGTATGAACAGCAATGTCCCATGTCTTAATGTACCATGTAATTTAGTAAGTTTAAAAAATTTAGAAATGCTTTATTAAATATGCAGAATGGTGTTTTGTATAACAAAATGAGTAACGCTATTAATACACAACAGTGTATGCATAGCAATAGCTTTTTTGTGTGTTTAAGCGTTAGCAACCATGTCAGGTTTGCAGTGCTGTCTATGTCCCTGCTGAGTGCATTCACCCTCTCTGTTCTGGTAACCATTGTCACTTGATGTCAGGACCTGGATCACCTGCTGGTGGCACGGTGCTTCACAAAGCAGAAGGTTGTAGTTTTGGTGTCCACCAGTAGGTGTCTGCCAGCATCCACCAGATCCCAGTAATCATTTTCCACCTAATGTTGGCTGCTGGAAGCGTATTCAGGTCCTCCACTACCAATACCTCTTGCTCCAGTGTTTTGCTGCTGCCAGAGTCTGTTTGTCATTGATCCTGATCTTGCTCCTGCCCTGTACTCTGTATCCTGCTGCCTTGCACCTGCTCCCCCTTGTTTCTGATCCCAGTTGTGGTTCCACCTTCCCATCTCCTCCCTGCACCTCCAGCTTTACCCTGCTTTTCTGTTTTACCCATGTTGTATATATTGTATATAGTTAGTTGGAAAGCAGACCATGGTTCAAATCTCAGCTGATTCAGTAGGAACCGTCCAAGATTTGAACCATCTATGGGCAGGCTAATTGTATCTAATTTGATTGTTGTGTACAACCAGCTTGTCTGATTTTTCATGCGATTATTGCCAGCGACTGTAGCTGCTAGTAATACAGTAATCACTGTGTTGTCCAGACAGGGACGGCTCCTTCCCGCTGGGAGAACACATTATTACTCAGGGAGAGGGGTTCCCCCATCAACACTGACTGTGTTGACTAGGGAATCAAGCAATTTTCTTTTCTGCAACTTGTGGTTGTAGGAAAGACAATTGTATTGCCTATGGCCGGCTTTAGTTAGGCTTTCTGTTTGTTAGGTTAATTAGTTAGGTATTTGTCACTGGGTATTTGGTTCACTTATATCTTTATGTTTTCAGGTTTCTAGTGTTTGGATGGAGTTTGTTTCACTGTAAATAAATCTCTCAGTTTCCCGAGTGTAGCTATGTAGATTTGGCCATCTCTGCTGCTGATTCCTGACATTGGGACAGAAAGTAAGAAAAAAATTCCAATTATTATAGTTGTCACTGGAACAACATTTTCCAATAGGGACACCTGTTTCAGTGACAACATTCTAAAAGAGATTTTCTCTCAATTCCTGGTGAATCCCCAGGACAAAGGATTAACTGAATTCTTGTCAATGTGTTCAAATCATGGCTAATGCTGAATGAAGTTAAACCAATGTGGGTAAAATATATTCACTGATTTTGATTTTCTCTTTGTGCAGGTGACAAATAGTCTGTGTATAGTTTACATGCTATACTATTATATTTTGTTTATGTGCTTATAATAGAAAAAAATCCTTGGATTAAATGTATGGCAAATGCTAATGGGTTGAAACTTACAGGAATTGAACTTCCATTTGAGGATTCATTTTTGGCTATATTATAAATCATTATCATAATTTGGAAAGAAAGTATTTTATCTGTTCTTATTATGTAGCAAAATTAAGCTGAAAGGGGCAGAGGGTTTACCCCCCTACTCTATTTAAAAACTAAAAAAAGGCTTTGGTTATTTACACTTTAAAGCTGATTCATTTGGCTTTAAAAAAAAGTAGTACTGTATGTGTTATCAAGGTTTTAATGCTCCGTCAAGCTAAGGGTAGTTATGTTGAGGAATACCTACCTAGGCCCAAGACCTTCTCACTTACAACACAGTACTGCTGGTCACGCAATTGTGCACAATTATAAAATCGGAAAAAGAGGTAGCCACATGACTGATGAAGATGAAAATCCATTATGACACATGGGCAGTACCCCGCAAGCGGGTGTTTGGGGGGGGGGAATACTGAAAATGGGATATACTCTTTTTTTTTGACCCTAACAACCATTAAGTTATCAATCAAATACGTTCAGCACCTTTCAGCTGTGTTCAAATCATGGCTAATGCTGAATGAAGGTAAACCAATTTGGGTAAAATATATATCACTGATTTTGATTTGCTCTTTTGTGCAGGTGACATATAGTCTGTACATAGTTTACATGCTATACTATTATATATTGTTTTTGTGCTTATAATAGAAAAAAATCCTTGGATTAAATTTATGGTAAATGCTAATGGGTTGAACCCTACAGGAATTGAACTTCCATTCTGATGATTCATTTTGGCTAATTATAAATCATTATCATAATTTTGAAAGAAAGCATTTTTTCCTGTTCTTTATTATGTAGCCAAAATAAATGAGTGATTGTGTGTGTATTTTTATGTAGTGCTACCCCCCCGCGGGGGGGGGGGCAGTTTACATTTTGGCCTACATTTATGAAGAACGATTATTTATTTGCAAAATGTTATAACAGAATCTTTAAGACACTAAAAGAAAATTTTATTTTTTATGTAAAAATTATTAATTTTAAAAATGAAAAAACCCAGTGGTGAATAAATACCACCAAAAGAAAGCTCTATCTGTCTCAAAAAATGATAACAATATATTTTGGGTACAGTGTTGCATGACTGAGTAATTGTCATTTAAAGTGTGACTGCAGTGAAATCTGAAAATTGGCCTGGGCAGGAGAGGGTTAAAGTGGCTGATTTTGAAGTGGTTAAGAATGAGCTGCATAAATTCAATCAAAATGATTTGTTATTATAGTCCTATTTTTTCCTGACTCCTCATGGCTGCAATGTCAGTTTCCAGCAAGTTATAAATGACAACTTCCATGATGCCTTGTGAACTGGGGAGGAGGTGGAGATATGTACTAAAAGGGGAGAGATGTGTACTGGGAAAAAGAGATGCATACTGGATGAGTAGGAAATGTGTACTGGGAGGATGGAGGGGGAGAAATGTGCAATGAGGAGGAAGAGACCTGTGTCCTGGAGGAGAGGGGAGACGTGTACTGGAGGGGGGGAGATGTATACTGGATGGAGAAGAGATGCGTACTGGGAAAGATGTATAATGAGATGGGGAGAATCAACACTCTTTGTAATGCATTCATTCATTCTGTGAGTTATGCACCCATGACACCTGCACTCTGTGAGTTACATACCCCTGGTCCCTGAAGTCTGTGCAAATTCACCCCTGTGTGTTAAGGAATACCATACTCTGTACATTACATACTCCTAGCCCCTAGGCTGTGTACAATACACACTCCTGACACACTGCATGATGCATGCTTAGCAATCCTGACCTCTGCATTTTGTGTGTCACATATTCCTGATCCCTACACTCACTGTGCTGCATGACCCTTATACTCATAAAGAACTATACAATTAAATACTCCTGACCCCCGTTCTCTGTGCATTGCCTACTCTTGCCTCTTTCATTGCACTCTGTGTGTTACATATTCCTTAGCAGTGTTGCCAACTGTCCGTAAATATACAGTTTGTAAATTTCATGAGATACAAACTTTCCATAAATATCCAGTACTGACTGTGGCGGCCCGTAAAAAATATGGCCACGGGTCGGCTTCAGGATCTGCACATGCGCAGCGCCAGGCTTGGAGGAAGAAGGGGAAGGCGTGTAGTGACGTCATGGTTTGGAGCCTTTTACAAAGTGTCTGGAGTGCAGCCAGGACCTGAGAGGAGAGGACTGGTGGTGGAAAGGCTGGGAAGCAGACTCAGAGTCAGAAATAAAAGGCAGAGGAGGAGCAAGCTGCTTGGAGGGTGGACCATCTGACTGATCTGCACCAAAGGCCAAACATTGAGCAAGCACTCTTATGGAGGAGGTCAGCATAACATTACCTTAGCCAGGCCACATTGTATCTGTAAGGGTGTCACTGATGTAAGGGGGAGTGAATACACTAAGGTAAGTGAGGACACTGATATAAAAGTTCCCCCTTCTATCAGTAACCCTCCCCCCTTACCTTAGTGTATTCACTCTGCAAAAGGTGGCCTCGGGTCAACAGAGTCCCCCCCCACATCAGAGTTCCCAGCATTCCCCCTTAAATCAGTCCTTAGAGTTCCCCTTTACATCAGAGTCTGCAGATGGAACTCAGTGGACCCTGATGTAAAGGGGAACGCTAATGTAAAGAGGAAAGCTGCGGACTCTGATGTGGGGGGCACAGGTGAGCAGAGACCACTTTACATCAGAGCTCCTCTCTATACCAGAGTCTGCAGAATTTCCCCCTACATCATGATCTGCAGCATTCCTCTTTACATCAGAGTTCCCCCTTTACATCAGGGTCTGCAGAGTTCTCCCCTTGCACTGTAAGGTGGGATTCTGCAGACTCTGATGTAAGGGAGAACTCTGTTGAAGGCTGTGTAAGGAAGGGGGAGTTCCCTATAACATAACGGATGGTCTGAAGTGTTCCCCTTTATACCAGGGTCCACAGTAAGGGGTTACTCTGTGGGCCCTGATGTAAATGAGAACTCTTTGGACTTTTATGTAAGGCAGTGCTAATTTTGTCAACTAAAATATTTTAGTCAAAGAAATTGACACTATTTTTTAGTCAACCAAAATATAAGTATAACAATTCAGATGACTAAAATACGACTAAAACTAAAATAGCAATTTAGTCAAGACTATGACTAAAACTAAGTTGAAATCTGATTTCAAAATTAACACTGCTTACAGTATATATCACAACAGCTAAATCTTTGTCTGTAGTGCATGTTCAAACCCAGGGGCGGACTGACAACTCATGGGGCCCCCGGGCAATAGGGGATCATGGGGCCCCTGTGTCCTTGCCCAAAACTCAAAAAAGCCTATGAAAAAGGTACCAGGGGCATCTTATGGGGCCCCCTACTGACCCCGGGCCCTCGGCAGTGCTCGAGTTTCCAAATGGTCAGTCCGCCCCTGTCAAACCTTAATACCATAAATGATATGTTATTAGAATTTTACTCTAGGAGTATATAATGAGTTTGGAAATTCTAGAGAAATACTTAAATAATGTATTACAATTTAATCAAGCCCATTAGAATGATTAGATGTTAGTCAACTATAATGTACTGGAGATTTTAGTTGACTAAATTGTAGGGGATTTTCATCGACTAAAATGTACTGGAGATTTTAGTTGACCAAAATGTACTGGAGATTTTAGTTGACCAGAAAATGTACTGGAGATTTTATAATCAATAACACAGCACAAAAATGAAATATATATAAAAGATTTTAAAAAAGTGATAAAGTCTACTGTCCCAAAAAAATAGTGATTAAGTGCTCCAATCAAAAAAATCTGTGCTAAAACAAAATGTGTTCTTTAAATGATATCACCACACAGTGTTTCGTGTTCACCTTTCAATACAATCCACACTCATCAGATTTGATGGACTCTTAGCTTGTAGGGCTTAAGAGTCAACAAGGCTTTTACTGGTGAAGTGTGTTCCCAGGATTCAGAATGGGAGTACTTGCTCAATCCTTTCCAACAATTCTCAAGCAGGCAGAAGAGATGCAAAAACAAGGGGGACACTAATAGTGTAATACTGTACCACTTCTTTATTAAATGAAACCAAAGTACATTTTGCACTCACATGTTATGAAAAATATATAGACCTTAAAATGGTATATGCTCTGTGACTTCCCACATCAATAAAGTGCTTAATCAGCAACAATAGCTCCGAAGCGCGGCTGGTAGCGTGCGCTCCACTCACTGGACGTAACATCACGAAGCCCTAGCCTGAAATTACATCAACACGTTTCGCCCCTCCTCCAGGGCGTTCTCACAGACAACAATCTCTGGTCCCTGCATGTAAGATATATCCTGTCATCACTCCTCCCCACCTTCATGACTCACTTCCTATTAGGTGTTCCGTCTTCAAATCAACAACCCAAAGCACCACTTCCTGGTATTCTCGATGCAGCTAATACGAGGGAAACATCATACTCATAAAAATATATTATTATTATATTAGACTAATCTAAAATCAAAAAATTAATTTATTAAATTCTTAGAATACCCAATAAATAATCAAAATAAAACTAAAATTAATAAATCCTAAAAATATTAACATTTTGCTATTGTCTTGCTAGAAATTGTTTTTTAGCATACATCACCGAGAAATCAATAAAAATAAAATAATATAATTTAATAATATTAAATGGGGCAAAATGCTGAACAATATGGACACTTTGCTATTACTTCTCCCCAATCCCAAGATACATAATATATTTTTTTTTAAATTACTAATTTGAAAGAAAAAGTTCAAATCTATGTCTACATTTAACTCCTTAGGGCTAAGGTATCCATTCTAAGGATCCACCTAGTTTCATTCTATGAGATCGCTTTCCTCAAATCTACTCCTCGCCAATGATGTTCAATCTTATCTATCCCACAAAATTTCAAAAGAGATGGATCCCTAATATGGAAATTCCTGAAATGATGAGAAAGGCTATGGTGTTGGAAAAGATTGAGCAAGTACTCCCATTCTGAATCCTAGTTATTCCTGAGAACATACTTCACCAGTAAAAGCCATGTTGACTCTTAAGCCCTACAAGCTAAGAGTCCATCAAATCTGATGAGTGTGGATTGTATTGGAAGGTGATCACGGAGCACTGTGTGGTGATATAATTTATAGAACACATTTTGTTTTGGCACAGATTTTTTTGATTGGAGCACTTAATCACCTTTTTTTTGGGACAGTGGACTTTATCACTTTTTTAAAATCTTTTGTATACATTTCATTTTTGTGCTGTTACATAGTTACATAGTTAGTCTGGCTGAAACAGACAAAAGTCCATCCAGTTCAACCATAGAAAAAAAAAGTTATAATCCTATACCCACAGTCGATCCAGAGGAAGGCAAAAAAAAACCAGCAAAGCATGATCCAATTTTTCTCCTGCTGGGAAAAAAAATTCCTTCCTGATCCCCTAAGAGGCAATTGCATATTCCCTGGATCAACGTTACCTATAAATGTCAGTATCCAGTTATATTCTGTGTATCTAAGAAACAATCCAGGCCTTTTTTGAAGCAATCCACTGAAACTGGCCAGAAACCAACTCTTGAGGGAGTCTATTCCACATTTTCACAGCTCTCACTGTGAAGCAAAGCTTTCCATGTTTGAAGATTACATTTCTTTTCCTCCAGACGTAAAGAGTGCCCCCTTGTCCTTTTTGATGACCTCAGGGTTGAATAGCTCTACACCGAGTTCACTATATGAACCACTGATGTATTTATACATGTTGATCATATCCCCCCTTACTCTCCTCTTCTCAAGAGAGAATAAATTCAGTTCCCTCTAATATTTCCTCTAATCTCTCCTCATAGCTGATCTCCTCCATGCCTCGTATTAGTTTAGTTGCCCTTCTCTGTACTTTCTCCAGTTCCCCAATGTTCTTTTTGTGAATTGGTGCCCAAAACTGAACTGCATATTTCAGATGAGGTGTG